AACAAGGCAGAAATGCGTGCTTTAAAACATGGTAATGAGGATAGAGCTCATATCCAGTGTTCTTACCACAAAAACAGAGGAAGAATGAAAAGAAGGAAGGAAAGAAAAAAGCCACAAAAAAACCACAAGGAAATTTCTGGCGGTGCTGGATACGCTCAGCACCTTGACGGTGGTGACCGTATCGTGGATGCACGCATACGTCCACACTCATCGAAATGTACGCACTGAGTATGTGCAATGTTTTGTACATCAGCATGCCTAACACAACAAAGCTAGGAGATGGGGAGAAGAAGTCCAGCCGATTCCTGTTATCTACTGTAGTTAGGTTTTATCGCCACGGCAATCACCAAGTTCGCAAACACTGAGCGGCTGCTCCGGGGAAGACGGGCTCCTGCCAGCCTCCGGACACAGCCTGGTTGTCACCCCGTGGATACAGAACCGAGTCTTACGTGTGTTTCTGCGTAAAGACACCTTACTGAATGCTGTTCTCCATTACCCCCAAATAGCCAGCCACCAGCACCGTGCCTCAAGTCTGAGAAGCTGCTTGGACACACGACCGCCCCCCCCGCCCCCCATGGTGCAGCCTGCACTCAACCACCAGCACTCGAGGGTCATTTTAAACTGCAAGATCACCATCAAAAAGCACAAAAATGCAAACAAAAAGGCACGAAATACACTAGAAGAAGAGTGCTTATTTCCAGCGAAAAAGGGCTGGAACAGGGCAGAGCATCATCTCATTTGACCTTGGCTAGAAACGTGCGCACCCGTGACTCCAGTCTTCACCCCCCAACCCCCGCCCGTGCACAAGTGCAAATGCCCGCGAACGCTCCCTGCATACTGGTTTTGGGGTTACAAACAAATTTTGCTAAGAGGCAAATTTGCAAGTACAAAGCCCCGGATAATGAGGAATGACTGTTACCAGTGTTTGATCAGTGTCTGTGCCTGAAGCCGGAAAGCCCTTCCAGGGATGTGAGCCGAAGTTCCTTTACCACTCAAGCCAGCTGGGGTTGGTTTTCCGTCACTTGAACCCAAGCTGGCTGCTCAGCTACTTTTCTGTAGGCGTAGAGGTCTCTGCGGGCGCCTGGGTGGCCCCTTCGGTGGAGCATCTGCCTTCAGCTCAGGTCATGGTCTCAGGGGTCCTGGATCAAGCCCCACATCAGGCTCCCTGCTCGGTGGGCAGCCTGCTTCTCCCTCTCCACCTCTCATCTCTGGGAGGAAGGCACCACCGCCTGGCGACCAGCCCCTAGGACCCTCTAGAATCCTGCGTCCTCAACGTTCCGATCATGCCTACGAAGGGAGAGTCCCGTTGTCCCCAGGCACTGGGGGACAGAGCCTCCAGGTTTACGAGCAGAGTTGCTCAGCTTGAGATGCGGGTCCCTTTCAGCTCCTGCTGAGATAAGCCCTTGAGAGACATGGGGCTCTCATGAGCCACGACGAGAGCACCTCAGCCATGCCCACCTCAGCCCACCGCCCATCCGAGTCCTGGGGAAGGGACATGCTTGCTCCTGAGCGTCCGGGGCCAATGCTGCCCGTCTCCCCACGGGCCCTGCCAGCCAGCGAGCAGGTCCACGGGGTGGGATGCCACGGGGCCCGTGGCCCGGGGCATAGCTCTTCATCCTCCAGCTTCTCCTCCAGCTCCCCCCATTTCTTGAATCAGTGCATTCACTTCTACACGGGGGCCATGGGCCCGTGGAGAATGCGAGCTGGGAATTTCCTGGGCGGGGAGGAGGGGAAGGAGGGTCAGAAAGGGAGACCCAGAACAGGGCCTCGGGCTGCTTGCCTGGCTTCTTCTCTACCAGCACCTTTGCCGTGGGTGAGGGCTCCACCCTCCCCTCCTGCATGAACCCCGGCAGACGGAGCCTGGCCCACGCCTCTGCAACGGGGACAGGTAACTCCACTGGCACCTCAGCTGCAGACCCTGCGACTCTGTGTAAGCACCCTACCCCGGGGGCCCTGCCAGCGCGGGAATGTGTGGGCCCACAGCCATCACGGGGTGACTTGTCCCCTCCTGCCGAGCCCACTCAATGCCCTGCAAGCCAGCACAGGCCACCTGCAGGTCCCACGGACAAGGCCCGGCCCCCTGCCCCACACCCTCCCACCCTGACCCCCACTGGGCGGCGGGGGGCATGGCCCTGCCTGCCAGGCCTGCAATGAAGAGACAGGAGGTTGAGACTCCAGTCCAGTGACCGGAGGCATCATGTCATCCCCGAGGTTTGTTATTCTGAGTCTCAGTACAGTACATGTTGGCTGATCACAGAGCCCAGCCCCCGCCCCATCCTGAGCGCCCACGAAACCCGAGGCCCGTCCAAGCCGCAGCTCCCCGCTGCACTGAGCTCTTCCAAGCTCCCCCCACTGGGTCTACGAGCTTTTAGGCTGTATGTGCTGGGAGTCACCTCACATCTCTGCAGCCCTGGGAGAACCAGTCCTCTCTTCCTCGCTGAGCACAGGAACCTCTCCCCAGCCTGCCCTGCTCCTTGTTAGAGGAGTTCAAGCAGAAGGAAGCTCAGAGGGCTTGCTGGTCACTGTCCACCAGGTCTTCTGTCTTCTTGGGGGAATGCCTCCACTACACGAGCTCTGGCGGCCAGGGCCACCATCCAGGGCACACCCCGAGGACACTCTGTCCAAATGGGGTTCACACTGTCCCTTTAAACTCTGCCATTAAAGCTTCCCATGGACAGAAGAGTCCACTCCACTCTGGTGAGTCAGTTAGCTAAACCCATGGCCAGAGCCTGACCTCCCCGTGGCCATCACGCCCCCTGCCATCTGCCCCAGCCCAGGCTCCAGACTGGGTTTCACAAAGCCACCTCCTGTGGTCAGACACAGAAGTCTAGGGAAAGATGGCTCTTGCCGGAAAAGGCGATTTTAGCTGTCAACAGCTAAATTTATTTATTTTCCTTTTCATATCCCTCTGGAATGCTTAGTTTTGTAAGGTGTCTTCCTCAGAAATTTCTACATGGAGCTCTCTAGCTCAGCTCAAGGCTGGGACAGCAGAGCGCGTCTGAGTCTGTTTTAGCGCCGTCATTCGACCTACGCATGGAGCTCCGTGCCGGGCCAGGTGTCACGGTTACAGAGACACAGAGGGGAGCACAGCACAGACCCCGTCCTCACACCTGAACCCCCTGCCCTCCCCCTCCTCTTATACGGCACTGACACCAACGCCAAGAACATTCCTAGCATCTCCAGAAACAGCTGTACTCTGTCACTTCTGAAAACACTCAACTCAGGCTTATCAGGAGTGTTATGGGCTGGACTGGGTCCCCTCAAAATCAGTATATTGAAGCCCCAACCCCCAGAACCTCAGAACGGGACTGCATTTGGAGATGGGGCCTTTAAGGAGGTGATCCACATCAAATAAAGCCATGAGAGTGGGGCCCTAATCTCCTGTGACTGGTGTCCTTACAGGAGGAGAGAGACATCAGGGGTGCCCGGGCGCAAAGCAGACCCATGAGGACACAGTGAGCAGGTGCCACCAACAAGGCAAGGAGAGAGGCTCCGGAGAAACCAAAACCGCCAACATCTGGATCTTGGACTTCTAGAGTCCAAGACGGAGAGAAAATAAATTTCTGCTGTTCAGGCCACGTTCTGTGGTATGTCTTATGGCAGCCCGAGCAGACTCATACAATCAGCAAAGCACTGACTCATTCGCTAGGCTTCAGCTGAACGCCTACTATGTGCAAAGCACTGAGGGAGGCTCTGTGGGCAGACACAGAAGTAAATGCACACCCAGCTGCTCTCGAGACGGCAGGGGCCTGACAGCACAAATACACCCACCATACAGAGGAATGCAAATATTACAGCACAGTTGGCCCTACCCCAACACTTGTTCGGAAAATGCAAATGTGTTCTAATGTGAGCGATGGATGGGGGAAACAACTTGCGCATAATGCGAATTTTGTGTCTGCTTATGCGTGATTTTGTCCGCAAGAAGCACTAGATGAACACAGAAAAGTGCACCCAGCCGAACGGAACCACACAGGCACACACACATGCACAAACACCTCGGACACCTGCCAGCCCCAGGTTGTCATGTGTTATGAGTCACCCCGTCCGTATCTGCTGTCACAACTCTCTTTGGACGTCTAACTTCACAGGACTATCCTTGGACCACCGCACAAAAACACACAAGGGGCAACCCTTCCAGGACTCACCTCCACGAGTAAATCTCACGCCAGCCTCAAGGTCCAGAGCCATAGTTATGCTTATATTTATGAATTTCTTAGGCATTTAATGTATAAAATTACGCTCCCATTTCTACTAGGTTCCTATTCTTGTTTCTCGGTCAGTGATTCACTCTTGACTGTGTGGTCCTAACCCATTTCTTCCCCATAAGCCCTGCAGTTTTTATTTCAAGAGTTTGTTTACTGCAGTGATTGCCAGGAACATGCATGTTGCATTATAGCAGAACGGGCTTTACTTAAATGTTGCAATAAGGAACTCCATGGCAGCAAACTAAAGCCTAGGTAATAAACGCCCATGACCAAGATCACACGTGATGAAACACTTGAGGCATAAACCTCGTTACAGAATATGTGGTTCTGGCTAATGTACCAATATCTCCTCCTAGTGACAACATCCCCTAATTGCAGGTAAAACACAGGAAAAAAATGAATTAAAAAAAATTCAAGTATTAAAAATGAATTTTCAGGGGCGCCTGGGTGTCTCAGATGGTTAAGTGTCTGCCTTCGGCTCAGGTCATGATCCTAGGGCCCTGGGATCGAGCCCCACATCGGGCTCCCTGCTTGGTGGGGAACCTGCTTCTCCCTCTCCCTCTACTGTTCCCCCTATTTGTGCTCTCTTGCTCTCTCTGTCAAATAAATAAAATCTTTAAAAAAAAATGAATTTTTCAAAAGTTACAGGGTAAATGAAGCCATTGCACAAGCCGAGTCAAATATATGCCTTCACCTTTAGGCAACTTTTTCTGACCTCCAGCTTCCTGATCTGTTGACTGAAAGACATTTGTCTCCAGGGTCAAACAGCCTCATGGAGGGAGCCCCACTGACCTGTCATTGAGTTCTCTGAGGTGCACAGCTGCTCCCTCAGCTTCTCCACGTCGTCGGGATGCACCTGTTCATACAAGGTGCTTCCAAACCACTCCGACTGGGGCTGGTTCAGAACGGGGGTGACGGAGTCAGACACGTAAATCACTCGTCCCGTCTCTGCCGCGACTACAAACAGAAATCCATCGGCAGCTTCGAGGATGAGGTGCTTCAGTTCCTGGGAAGAAAGGACCAAGATGATGAGAGAGCGCGGACAAACCCCGTCTAATTACATTTTCACATCAGCAACCTTCACCTTTTATTCCCTCACTGTGACACAAAAATAGTTGTAGAAACTTAGATTGCTTTTTATAATGGAAAAATAAGCTTAAAATGCACAAAGCTTGTCCTAGCTCTAAGATTCAGCTACTGTGAACACTGTTGGCCCTGATCTAACCAGCCCTCTCTTCGGGAGAGAGGAAACTTCCAGCCCGGGGGGGGTGGGGGTGGGGGTGGGGTGGGGGGGGGGATGGAAAGCAAGGAGTGATCACCAGAACGTGCCGGGCTGTCAGAGGTGTGAACAGCCTCACCTATATCTTCAAAATGCACAAGAAGGGCCCAGCACACAGTGCTCCGTATAAAAGGTGGCAGGAAGGGAAGGGGAAGAGAGAGTGGAGAGCGAAGGACGGTCGCCCAGCCGCTGCGCCCACACTGATGGTGCACGCCCGCTCGCTCTCGTCCCGCACTCCCAGCCGGCAGCGTATACAAGAGTCTCTCCTCACATCAGCACGTCTGTCAAACTTCCAGGACTCCTGGACAGACACTCAGAGCAATGCTGGGAGGCGGTCCGGCACAGCCCATTGTCCATATCACTTTAGAGTGAGAAGAGAGGTTAGCGGCCCCAGCCCTGGGGTCACGTTGACTCACCAGGCTCATGACTGTCACAAAAGGCAGGAAGAAAGCTGCTTGGAATCAATGAATGGGCAGCAGGAAGCCCTGCCATCATCCCCAGAGGGGTGTGAATGGAGCCAAGTCAACTTTGTTAAAAGATGCCTTTTCTTTGCCTGAAGGCAGCTCAAGTGTGGCTGCCTACCCGTCATTCTCACATCAAGCTCAATGCAATGGGCTCCGTTCCTCGGGACGGAGGAGCTAACGCCCCGGCATGCCCCTGCGCCCACAGGTGTGCCTCCGAACACCCCTCACGCTGATGACGTTCCAAAGAACAAAGGTCAGCAGTCGGCAAACACTTCTTGCTGGGAATCCTTTGTTCGGATGTCACCTGACACAGAAGCCTCACGGGAACACCAATTATGCCCCAGCTGCACACATGCAAAAGGTGGGACTCTGACGCCACTGGCCCGGCCCCAGGGCACTCCAAGGACCCAAAGATCAGAAAACGGGGGTCTGCTGCTCGTGAGCAGAATCTGGGGGGCTCTAAGCCCTTGGCTGGGTCAGAATCCTTACATCCTCTGCCTGGGGACCTACGGTGGAAGGAGACTATACAGCATTGTCTAAGGAAAAGTTTATTTTGTCCATTTCCCTTGCCTTGCACTTCTGCTGATCCGTGTCTCCTGGCCGCTCCCTTAGCGCAGAGAATGGGTCAGCGGTTTTATTTTCAGTGTCGGAAGAGCTTCCAACAGGAAGGACTAAAACACGGAGCAGGAAGTCTGGGAAAACTGGAGGGCGGCGGCAGAGGCTGAGGGCTGTGGGAAGGTTTACGGGACGGAGCCTCACCTTCATCACAGCCTCTCTGCCCACACTCCCCCACCCCGCCCCCAGGTTTGTCTTCTGGGAGCCTGTCACTCGTGATCAAGGTCCCGAGCCTCTGCTCTCCGGTTAAACCAACAGGAAGGCTTGCGAGCGTGGGTTCTGGAAGAAAAGGCGGCTCTCATCCACAGCTCTTAGCTGTGCACCTCTGGGCATGTTACTGTGCTCCGCTTCCGTTTCTTCCAATGGTTCTTCTCAGTGGGATTTTGTGAGTTTAAATGAGGTCTTGTCAACTATCATATGATTTCACTCATATGTGGAATTTAAGAAACAAAACAGGATCATAGGGGAACAGAGGAAAAAATAAAACAAGATGAAATCAGAGAGGGAGACAAACCATAAGGGACTCTTAACTCTAGGAAACAAACTGTGGGTTGCTGGAGCGGAGGGGGGTGGAGGGATGGGGTAACTGGGGGGTGGGCATTAAGGAGGGCACGTGACGGAATGAGCACTGGGTGCTGTATGCATCTGATGAATCACTGAATTCTATCCCTGAAACTAATAATACACTATATGTTAATTAATTGAATTTAAATAAAATTAAATTCAATTAAAAAAATAAAAATAAATGAGGTCTTATGTGTGGAGGCTTGGCAAGGGCTTGGCACACAGTCGGTGCTTAATACATGCAGCTGCTGTTAACATCAACCATGTGCCAAGGAACCAAGGGAGAAATACGGGCTGGACGCGCAGGATGTGCATGACTGCCTTCTGCCTCACTTCCTAATCCTCGGTCATAAGGATGAGGAGATTCACTTCAAACATGGACCTGGCAGGATTTTTGTGAATTAAGCGCAGATAAAGAGCGTTGTTCTTACCCCCGCGGCTAGGGGCCGTGTAACACGTTTCTGTCCCCCCTTGATCACACTGCGCCCAGGAAGCCCCACAACCACAGGAGGTGGGGGTGACCCCTGCGTCCCCTACGGAGGGCAGACGGGGCTGGGCGCCAAGCTCCCGGTGCTCCCGGTCACGGCCACCGCACAGCCACACCCCTGCGAGGTGAGGCACCCTGTGGCCCCCAGGATGGCGGAAAAGGAAGCCTCTGCCACAGGGCAGGCGGTCACCCACGTCCGCTCCCTCTCCTTTCCCTTTTTCCGAACCTCACCCCCGACTCGAACAGGTCCCGGCTCCGGCAGAACGGACAGTTCTGTCTCCAGACTCCCCTTTTGCTCCTGCCTCCCCCGAGGCCCTGCTTTCACGTTCTTCCCCCGCGTGTCAAGCCCCCACTCTCCGTCTCTCTGGGCGCGCTCCGGGGCCCCCTCAGAGCCAGGCGATGCTGGGGAGCCCTGGGGATGAAATCCTCCCTCACGTGGGGCTCTGCCCCTCCTGCACCCCCAGAGCACACTGTCCCACGACCGCCTCCCGGCCTGGCCCCCCCGCCCACCACCGCACGCCAAAGACTTCCAGACCCACCCTTCTGTTCTTCCTGCGAAAGCCCTCAGCGTCAGGGAGGCCCGAAGCCCCTGCTCCTTTCCGAGATGAGCCAACCGAAGCTGACAGCGTCTGTGGATTTGCCCTCCGCCCGGCGCCCAGAAGAGCTGAGCACAGAGCACAGGCCTTGGGTTCCTGCAGTGGTTTGTACAATCTGTAAAATACGAGCCCCGCCCCCAGCCATGTGGCGCCTTTGCTCTTCCCAACCCTTCAAGGCCTGTCCAGCGGTGAGAAGGGTGACTCCGGGGCCCAACCCACCTGCGCCGGCTCCTGGCCCGGCCGCCGAGCCATCCGTGGACACCCTCCAGGCCAACGGCAGACCCTTTCTAAGCCACAGCTTCCTTGTCTACACAGCAGGGACCAATACTTGGAGTACGCGCAAAAACGCACGGAGACGGAGGACCCCGGCCCGGCCCAGGGCACCGGTCAGTGGAGCGCCCGCCATGCTGATCCTGTCACAATGATCACCACGACCGCCCCAAACTGCCACCAGCCTGGCGTCAGCACCACCGCCCGCAGAACGTGCGTCACACGGACCAGCTCCGTGTCACACGTGGCGCACAGCGAGGCTCATGAAGGTTAACGGGACACGTAAAAGCAGAAGGCACAAAGGCCGCACGAACACTGCCGTGGAGAAAGGAAGTGAAATTTCCTGATCTCACCCGTTCCTCAACCTTGAGCCCCTCTTCCCCGGGTCGCTTCGCTCACCCCGGGGACAGCTACTCTGTCCCCTTCCCAGTGACGCCGTCAGCCGAGGAAGGCCCGCGCGCAGCAGATCGCGGTACCTGCTCCGTCAGGAAGGAAGGCTTGTAGGCGCCGTCCGTGGATTTGTTCCCGGTGCCCCTCATGGACTTCATGTGCGACACGGCCATGCGGAGGATGGTGAGCTTGTCCGGCTTGCGGGCCAGCGCGCTGCACGTGGGCACCATGTCCGACAGCTCCGTGATGTACTGTGTCATCTTGTTCCGCCGCCGCCTCTCGATCTCGCTGTGGTTCTCTCTTCCCGAAAGCACAAGAGCAGGGCGGGGGGAAAGAGACGCGTCAGATCGGAGGTCACCATTGAACAGGACAAAATAGGGCACACCTGTGGGCACAAAGGGACCGAGAGCCACTCCGCCTCCTAGCGGCTGGTGCTCTGCACGCATGTGGGCGCGGCGGCTCGCAGACGCCCCGATCGGCCTTTGTCTCTGCGCGGGGGCCACACAGGCCGCTACGGGGCCCCGTCTCCCCTGGAAATGTGTCCCGAACCCTCCCATCACTCCCACGCACCCAAGTATGCTTCTCTAAGCACGGACAGTTCAGGCCGCGGGAGGTGAACCAACAGGGCTCCATCCACACACCGGGATCTGTGCGTGGCGGGCAGACCCTGCACGTTCACACACGCCTGCACGCTCATGGAGTCATGGTCCGTGGGGATGTGTGCCTTCCTTCGGCCCTCGCGTAAGATGCACCACGTGGCCTCGCCACCCTTCCATCACTAAGTGGGTGGCAATGCCACAGACAGACCTCTGCTCTAGGCCCCACACACCCTCTGCCGAGAACAGGTGCACCCCTGGCTTATTCACCAGCCGACTGGCCAATTAAAATTTAAAAAGCACCATGAGGGATTACTGAATTCAACCTCTGTGATGTGTTAAGATGAAAAACTAGCAGAAAGGACGGTCGAATGTTTGCCTCTTGGTATTATTACCTTTAGGATGAAAGACAGTAAAAGCCAGCTCAGCTCCACAACCCTGGCAGGAAGCTGTTACTTGGATTTAAAGAACGGTCTGGAAAGACACGAGACGTCTGCAGTAGGATTTAGGGCTTCACCGGACTCCGAGCAGGAGAGGGACACGGACCGCACACAAGGAACAACGTGGATGAGGCTGCCTGCCCACCCCGCGTGTACCGAGTTGGCTGAACACCCACCCTCCCAACCGGGCAACAGATGGGCCATCGGGCACAACCACACGCCGGCCCCAGCCGCGCACACTGAGGGCCCCTGCCCGCGCCAGCAGGGGAAGGCAGGCCTGCAGCAGAGCTCACGGTGCTGGGGCGAGCTGACCCCGGCAGCCCGGCGGGCACCTTCCCCCTCCGTCCGAGGAGTGTGCTGAGCCAGGCACCGTGGGGAGGGGCCGAGAGGAGACAAGCATCGCCCGCTCCCGTCCTCCAGCAGCCGGGGGGTTGGCCAGGAGGGTGAGGCAGCGCCTTGCACAGTGGAAAGGAAGCCTGGATAGAGCTAAATGCTATGAAAGGCACGTGGAGCATAAAAACCACAGGGTAGAAGGAGAAAGGACAGAGGTGGCGGCCCAGGGGGCCACAGCGCTGGAGGGGCGGGCCTCGACCCAGCAGCGGGACCAGCAGGCGTATTCCGGGAGACCAGCAGGGTCAGAAAGGCACGGGCAGCCGGATGGAGGGCAGGCTCGGCCTGGGAAGCAGTGAGGAACGGGGAGCACGAGAAGTGGGGTGCTGCCCAATTCCAGAGGGAAAGCTGGGAGAACCGTGAGCTGACAGCTGAGCCCCAGGAGTGGTGCAAACTCCCGGAGGTGGCGCCAGGGCCCCGCTCCTCGGGGCAGACACCACCCAGGGAAGGACGCCCACCATTCGGGAGGAACGGCTCTCGGGTGATTGGCTAGGGCTTGCTTACTGTGGGGAGTGGGGAGGCAGCCACAGGAAGGGGGTGGGGGCAATCACGGAGAACGGGGGCACTAGGTCAAGGCATTCCCGCGTGCTCCAAGGAACGCCGGCTCCTTCCCTGGAAGATCCTCTCCACCGTTCCAAAGTGGGTAAAGAAGTCACGGGAGCCCACCCGGAACCGGCCCTCCTCGCCGTCCCCCTCCCTGTGCCCTGCACCATGCACCTGGTGCACCGCTCTGGCCCCGGGACTCCGGGGAAGGCTGGGCGAGCCTCATCGGGCGCTCTGCCCCATCCCCCAGGCCAGCTTGCAGACGGGTAGGAGACACGGTGCAGAAAATGCTGCCCGGGGCTGCGGAAGGGGGTGTGACGCTGGGCAGGAAGTCCGGCCACTCAGGGACAGTGGTCACGATGCAGGATGCAGCCTATCCACTCTGCCCGCCCCGCACGCCTTCCCTCCCGTCTCCTGCCCAGATGCTCTCCTGAGGCGAACGTGCATCCTCCTCCCTGACAGCAGGAAGGGAGCCTGCATCTTGCTGGGCTTTCAGGGAACACCCTTCCTGTCCTGGCCAGCCCTCCCTGGGCAGCAGGGCAGAACATCAGGAGAGTCGAGAAGTCCCAAGGAAAGCCATTTTATGCAGCCCCACGACGAGGCGGGCCACAGGCCCTGCAGGAGGACCCACAGAGGCACAGCCAGTTGGGACGTTTCCCTGGCTTCTCAGGCTTCCCCTGAGAGGGGCAAAGGATGTTTCCTCCCTGGGAAGGAGGCAGGTGCCCTGCCCCCCCCGGGGCGCCATGCAAGGCAGTTTTCTGCAAGACACCCATGTGTCTAGGCTGAAGATAAGGTTCCGTGCAACACAGAGGTGGAGGCGGAGAAAGCCCCAGCCCTCCAAAGAGGGGCCTTTGAAAGCCCAGCCTCTGATCACCCCTGCCCCCCACGGGACACACCCCCTCCATGTTTATACAGCAGTTTCCAGCTCCCCAGGGCCTCAGCGATCACCGCATCTGACCCCCTCTCCCCCCCAGCCCACCAACCACCCTCTGTGGAAGAGGGGCCTGAGGCTCAGAGAGGTGCTGACTTAGCAGGACCTGAGCCAGGCTCCTCAATGGCGTGCTCCCTGGTCCTGGATCTGGAGCCAGAATGCCCCTGCCTGAGAGGCAAAGACAGCTAAGGCATCAAGGGGGGAGGGAAACGCCTGGCAGCTTCCAGAGAGACACAGCTCAGGACGACTGATGACCCCAGAGATGATTTACTCCCCAACAAAGTCCTGCTATTATCCGGACACTGTCACTGCAAGTCAAGTTTCATCTCTGCAGGACCGAAGCCGAGGAGTGGGCAGCCAGACAAGGTGAGAAAGGCACCAAAACCACGTCAAGCACACGAGCGCCAAACATCTCTACGAAGAGCAGACTGGCCCACATCGGCCTGAGGAGAGAGAGCGGGCTCCACCGGAAACAGATTTCATTCCAAAGCGTCTTGACCTTAATCCTAACCCCAACCAATGAAACCAAACCTCCCAACCAAACTCCCTGCTCATCTGGTTGCTTGTGGGCCCCTCTCTGCCAAGGTCAACCCAGCTTGTCTGCAACGCCCTTCTGGTTCATGAGCTCCAAGGAAGCTGAGGTACAGAGAAGTCTAGAAAGTCTGGGAATGTTCCTCTTGGGTCTGCTGAATCTCTCCTTGCTGTAAAGAGAGCTGACATGGCCAATGCACGTGTGCCAGATGGGGTGGCCGGTCAGATGACAGAGGACAACCTTTGCTGCTTCCTGGCCATCTTCCCTGCCTCAGAAGTACTTTGAGCATCTTCCCACCTAGAAACAAGATACCCAGCTTTCTCAGCTACAACGCAGTCTAAGAATTATGGGAAACAACAACCCTCCACTTTGTCGGCCAGGAAAGATCTCTGCAGGACAGCCCGCCCCACAAATTTCTTCCCTTATCAACACGGCTTTCATCATCATACAGGGTGGTAAATTCAGATGGAAGGCTTAAAACTAAAATATCATCACAATCTGTCAAACCAGAAAAAATGCACACAAGCGTAAACATTGCACAGAATCAAGCAGAAAGTATCAAAATAGATGGGATGAAAAATAGAAGGCCAACCATGTAGAAACCTGCCTATCACTAATATCCTCACTTTTGGATGACGTTAGAGGCTCACTGGCTCAACTCTACAAAATATAAGCCGTTAACTCCGGGAAGAGACAAGTCACCCAGACGGTGGGACCTCGGGAAGGTCACTTAGACCCATTCGTGAAGGGTGGGAGAGCCCAGTAAGACCTCCAGGGTTTGGGGTTCCAAGCTTACAGGTCACCCCACGCCCGTGGCCGGGTTCACAGCCGGAGACATGAGAGCACCTGAAAGGTCGTTTGGATGTTTGGAGAAAGGGTACAGAATGAGCCCAAATACAACAAAAATCCAGTTGATGACATACAGTGAACAAGAATGACAGGTTTGGGAGTGAGCACTCAGCTGTTCCCGAGTTATAAATCTAACCTTACAAATGTGTGGATGAGTCGTGTTTCCATTCCTTTCTTTTAATGAACCACGCACGCACATGTACACACATATATGTAAACCACAACGAAGGGCACGGCGTGTAGCTCTGACCTTTGGTGACAGCTCTGGGACGTCAGCCGTCCCACCCACGCAACAATATTCCCGCCGCTCCGCACTGGTGGCAGCTGACCCCAGCTGCGGCACAGGAAGAAATCCCGGGACTCATCAGAAAATGTACCACTGGGCTGGGGGCCACGAAGGGAGGAAGAAGGGCCTGAACCACGGCGCCGTATGAGGAAAGGGTTTGGCCTCTCCTCCAGGGGGACTGCTGGCCCTGCTGGGCGGGATGAGTGCTTGCCCCCCCAGGTGGGCCAGGGCCGGGGGGCTCATGCTGGCCTCCACAGAGGGTCTGCCCCACTCCCAGCTGCCGGGGAGACTCGTCTTTGGAGGGAGCTTTCTGGTGTGTGATGGGTTTTCCCGGAGACAGCCAGTTCCCTGAGGTCAGGCTGCCCTCCCCAGACATGGCCCCAGGACAGAGGTCGCTCTGCACCCTGGCTCCTCTCGGCCTCTCTGGGCGAAACGCCCCTCCTGTGACATGCAGGCCCGCGTCTCTACCACCCGAGAGACCCTTGTCCCTGTGGCCCGTGGACTGCACCAGCGGATGCCGCCCGGTGCGGGGGCCCTGCCCCAGCACACCCAACAGCCGCGGCGCCAGGGCGCAGGTAGCCCACCCTCTGTCGTCACCCCCTTCCCGGGAGCCTTCCCTCCTCCAGCAGACCTCCGCCAAACGCTCCCAGGGCTGCAGCGTCCCCCTATCTGCGCATGGCTCCGCAGCGCCCCGGCTGCCAGGGAGCCGGCTGTTCCCCCACGCAGGCCCTTCCTCATCTGGGGGGCGCAGAGGCTAACGATGCGTCTGAGGCCGGAGTCTGGGCTGCCCCCGGGCGGACTCCGAGGGCGCCAACAGGGGAAGGAGTGGAGGAGCACAAGAGCCCACTGGCTGCGGCAGACGAGGGCTCCCTTCTGTGAGCCTCCAGGCGCCCTTCCCTGTCTCATGGGGATCAAGCCTCACGCCTTCCCGGCTCCCGGCCTCACTCGGGCTGCTCTTGGAGCTGTCCTCTGCTCAACGCCAGCCGCCTGGGTGTCCACCCCTCTGCTGCCCCTGCCCAGTACCCCAGCCCTACACCCTGGGGGAGTGGGCACCCCTGTATCCAAGCCACTGGCCGTCACTCTAAGAAAACGGACTGCCTTCCTGTGTGACTGGGGCCACAGGTCCCGAAGACAAATGGCGACATGAGGTCCGACGGTGGGCAGGACGACTGAACCTCAGACCACCCTCAAGGAAGGCTGGGAAGGCTGGCTGAACGGACGTCAGGGATGGGAGGCACGGCTCCGCACCCTGGTCAGCTTCTGAGGCACAAAACCGCGCTGGGTGCCGGCCCGCGCCTCAGCTGCCCTCTCGCCCGGGGCTTCTTGGGGCTGACTGTAAGCAGAAGGGCTGGGGCAGGAGCGGCCCCCAGGTGGGCCAGGCACCACACTGGCGGGACCCCACCCCTGCCCTGCACGGTGGCCGCGGCCACTGGCCCAGGGGAGGGTGGGGGTGCTGTGCACACGGCCCCAACCCTGAGCGGCTCAGGTGCACCTGCCGGCTCACGGGTCGTCGGCCACCCCGCCGGGAGACGGCGGTGCGACCCCGGGACCCTACAGATGCAACCGAGAAAGAAGCACCAGCCTAAGTTGCAAACCCGCCCCAGCCTCCCCTCTTGTTTTTAACATGCAGGGGAAGGCTGTGGCCGCAGAAGCCTCGGTCTGAACTCTAAGTAGAACCGGACTTGCTGACAGCCATAGGAGACCATTGCCCAGAGGCCAGGGTTTGTTTCTCAATGACGGGCCTTCAGACAATGAACTCCTTGTATCCTGCACTGTGATTTCATCGTTGACACCGATCTTCGATGTCAAGCGAAGGTCACTCCGCATCTCTGCCCGTCTGTCCTGAGACCCCAGAAATCATCATTTCCTGAGCTCGACCCGGTCTGGAATGTTATCTCGAGGGGGATCCTGACCCAGAGACATCAAGAGTCGTCATCTCCTCAGGAAGGGAGGCTGTGTGGGGTGAGCACAGACCAGGACAGGGAGGCACGTGCCCACATTCCCAAGGCTAGTTCTGTCTCGGGAACAAAGCGCTCCCTGCGGTTAGAGCTTTTCCCAAGAAACAGGTGACATCCGAGCTGGGGCCCCGCTGGCACCAAGGGACATCCCCACACTTCTGCTACCGGCACTCATGCCTTGTTCTGATTAGAAACTCCGGGGTCGTTACGGAGCAGAGCGTTCTCCATGTGTCCTCTCTGTGGTCTCCCCCAGAGCTGAGGCGCAGGACGGTGCACAGTATGTTTGCTACGGATGTGCAGGCTCCGGGGAGGCCCGGGCACGGCAACGGGACACCTGTGCCTCTCTGGTTTGGGGAGGAAGTGGGCTCAGTCACAGCCACTGCCTTGGGGTGAGCAGCCTGGGGAGGTCCGTGGGCCCGGGGCTCCCCACGGACATCGTTCTTCTAAGAACCAGGCTGTCAATCTAAACTGTGAAGTGCAGACAGCACAGGAAGGGACCCATCGCCAGGGGCAGGTTTTCAAGTTCATCAGCAGCCAGGAATTAGGACTGCCGGGAGGTGGGGAGGAACGTCCAGGCAGGCCGCTCCGTGAGTGGACCCAGGACAGATGGGCACTTTGCTAAGATCGATGGCATGATCTGTGCCTCTCTCTCAACACTCCCAAACCTCCTACTTAACTTCAACGAAACAAAACCAGAAAAACGAGAGGAAAAAAGGAAGAAAGGGAGAGAGAAAGAGGAACGGGCCGAGGGGCGGCTGCCCTGATGTGCTGACCGCCAGCAGCACCCGTGGCCTACTGTCCTTTCCGGGACACGGTCTGCACTCAGGTCAGCCCCCCGAGCCTGGCTCCCACGCCGCAGTCCTAGGGCTCGCATCCAGGACAGGGCCACCCCGGTTCCTTGCGTGTCCCCTTACTGTCTATGGTAGGAAAAGAGGCTGTATCTTGATTGTCTTTTCTAAACTTGAGCTCTAGTCTGTCTTTTCAAAAGGAGTCTCTAAAACTCGGCGGTCAGTGCTCCATCTGAAGGGCGACCAGAGCTCATACCGCGTTAGCACCCTCCCTCGGCGATGCCAGCCGGGGTGCCGCCCGTCCCGGTCAAACGCGGGCACAGGGCGAGGGACAAGCCGGGGCTCAGACGACAGACCACGGCATTCTCAGTGACAGAAGACACCGAATCCCTGCGTATCCCTCCCACGGTGACAGCTGGCCGTTGGCTTCCAAGGAGCGTAAACTCACCTTGAAAATTTGCTGGGCCCCTCTCCATCCTCCTCATCAAAGTCCATCCTGAAAAGCCAAGAGCATGAGGAGACTCATTACAGACAGAACATTTCCCAGGTGACCCAAGCTGCTAGCACCACCCAGGGGGTCTCGTTCAGTCGGACGGACGTGTCCCAGTCCCAACCCTCAGGAAACGCCACAGTCAGCAAGCAGGCTGGGGACCAGAGGGGGCAAAGGAAGGGCCTCTGTGTGAGCGCCTTGCGTTGTATGGTTGGGAACCCGAGCAACAGTGCTGTGGCGCCAACCCAGGCCCTTGGGGTCCCGCACAGGCCGCCGGCCGCTTGCTCGGCTCAACGCCCCCTGTGTCCCCCCGCAACTCTGGGGGCTCCTGCCCCCCTCCACCTCGTTTATTCTGCACCGAGACCGCATTTTGCACTTTATTTTGCGGTACATCGTCAGCAGGCTCAAAAAGCTCAAGGGGCTCAGAAAACAGGAAACTTTAAGAGCGATAGACGAATTAGCTCAGGTTGTGTGGCTTCAGAATGTGGCCGGTCTGGACGAGTCAAAGTGAAAAGGGCGTTTCAGGCCACTGTCCCCGCAAGTCCAAACCCAAACAAAGGCAAGGGGACCGAGAAACAGTTATCTGGGACCTGAGCGACTCCAAGTACTCATTCGTCTGCTTGTTGAAACTCACCAAAGACTCAGAGCCCACTTTCCTGGGCCTCTCAATATAAACATAAAACTAAAAAGTCTTGATAGGTATTTGTTTAACTAATACCCCAAACTCTCCTTCTCGAAACACCAATCCTAAGGTCAATTAACATTACCCCTGAAGATGCTGGGGTCATTAATTAGTATTAAACTGTACCCAGAATGTTCCAAGAGCAAAGTGAGAAATAGTGCAGATGTCCTGGTTCTCCTGGACATTCAGGGAGAGGGGGGCTGCTTGGGGAAAAACACCCCAGAGCCATGGCATTGTCCTGCCCGTTCTTAGTGGGCCCGAGGGCCCAAGCAAGGTACAGTCCCGAGGACTCCCAGCAGAAGGGAGAAGGGCCTGCCTGTAGCCAGGACGAGAGCTCGCCTCGGAGCAGCTCAGCACAGGACTGCAGGGTGTGCCAGCCCGTAGGGAACGGGATCCCCACCCTGGCTCTAGGTGAGCAGTGGTGACTCGGGGAAGGAACGGGAAGCCCAGGCCACCAGGAACGGCCGGGTGCAGAGGCAGAGCCATCCCTGCACACGCACACGCACACTCTCTCTCTTTCTCTCTCTCTCTCTCTCACACACACACACACACACACACACACACA